ATGGAGTAACAAGCATCGCCATTTAGTTGTTAATTGTTTTTAAGGCAAAACTATATATAAACGACACAGTAATAATCATCACAGCAACTTCGTTGATAACTTCAGTTACATTCCACAGTTGTACAATAACAAAGACCTATCAAAGACTACTAGGTGTACAATAACAAAGATCTGCAAGTACAGATACATTCCATAGTCGAGTCTGGAAGCAAGCAGTGCACGCTAAGGATGAGGCAGCACCTTGCAACACTTCCACTAGCATCTGCACCTCTCACGGTCGAGAGAGAGAGCAAGAGGAGCATCTCAGCGAGGTGGTTTACCTTCCCTGCTGCACCTCTCATAGTCAGGAGACAGAGAGGCAAGAAGAGGAGGCGTGGAAGAGAAGCGTCGTCGTCACCGCTGCTGCTCCAGAGGAAGGAGAGGATTGCTAGGGCGCCGGACTGATGAATCGGCGGCAGTACAAGAAATACACAGGGTAGAAAGGTGGGAACTGTACATACAGACATATCACCTTCCTAGCGGCCTTGTGCATATCAGATACCAAACTAGGAATACCAAAGTAAATTCAGTACCCCTTGGCTTACCCAAATAAGCGAACCCCTTAATCACAAAACTTTCACTAGCACCTAGATTGAGCAGCCCCCGCTGTGCCTAAATGCTGCCTAAATGCCGATAGTACCCAATCTTGAAGGCCTTCTCCCAACACCGCTGCTGCCGCAGGAGGAGTTGGAGAAGGAGCGTCATGGCGATGAAGAAAATATAGATGGTTGGTTCAAAATAGCTTTGTCTCTATCTATATGTATCTAAGGAGAAAGGAGTGTGTGGATTGCCAAGCGCATCCAGCCTCGGCTTAAATAGGCCAGCCTTGAAGATGGAGAAGCCGAGAGGAGCAGTTAATACGCATCAGGGAAGACGAGGCATAGAGTAATGGTGATGCAATTGTGTTGTGGGTAATTGGGAAATGGGGAAATAACTCACGCTGAATTTACTACCGCCGATATACCAAATGGTCGTATAGGGTCAGCGGCCATAACACCTATCCCAGTCGGATCGGATTTTCATATGACGGAGAAAATACCACTGCCGCATCTATTGTTAACCCATCGGTGGTAGAAGTTTGAACTGCCGGTTTCCTTCTTAGGAGGCCTAGCTATCAGTCCAACCGGCTGTGGAAGTATAACACTGTCGCTTCTATCGCTATGGCAGTGAAAGTGGTGATAGTGATAAATCAAAATCAATATGTAGTAGTGTTTGTTGATGACAAAATAGGGTGTTAAAACCCGTCAACAGATGTGCTCATGCATTGCAACAGGTATAAAAATATTCACCGGATAACATGTATTATAAAAACACAAACTTTCTATGGTTAAGGCGTCAAGCTCGTGAGGCAGTGGCACATTGACTTGAAGGTGAGGCAGTGGCACATTGACTTGAAGGTGAATGGATCAACAACCATGTTGCGCCGATCAAGGTGAAGCTGCTGGATGTGGAGGCGGCAGGATGGTTCGAGTTAGGTAACAACGCGCACCTCTAGAAAGAACCTGTGAATGATGGGTAGCATGCCCCTAAAAAATGATGGGTAGCATGATGTTTGTCTGGCGCGTATATTGAACGCTGCACAAGAGAAGTTGCTGACAGGTTGGCGTTCATCATTAGGCATGCACTTCCGCAACAATATTCGTGCTATGGGAAAGTCATGTGGCTCCTCCTGGTCCACCTCTCCCTAAGTCTATGCGGACATTGGAAGCCTAGAGGTCATCCTTCTCGGCGTCCGATGGTTGAGTGTTAGACGCAACTCCAATCGGTGATTCGGTGTCAACTATCCCAATATGTTTTTTTTATTTCTTCTTCAGGTGTTTTCAATTTTTTTCCTCGAGGACTTGACTAACATGACTATTTTATTGTGTCTTATACTATTTTTCTTGTCTAATAAATTTGCGGCAAATTTCTTACCCATCTTTCTAAAAAATAAAAATCTTAACTCCTATGAAATTCGGTATTACACTGGCAAGAAAGGTGTATTTTTTCTCTCAAGAAAAAGTTAGATGTAACTTACCGGCTCTTTCTCAGATGTCGTCAACAATCTAACGGTGGACTGAACATTCAGAACATAGCATGCGGTGGTACCCATAGTTGCGGAACAAAGATGCAATGAACATTTAGAGGGTGATGGAGATTGCCGAGGAGGTAAATGTGAGACGCGAACTATGCAAGGTCCTGCCAGCTCGCCACCGTCACAAGCTTCCCATGGGTGACCCGCGACCGCCCATTCGATCTTGACAGCCTCAAGATCACCCTCATGGGCACCCTGCTGGCGCACTTCTTGCCCGAAGCAGGTGGTCGATGCTGGCCACCACTTTCCCCTTGTCCGCGAACTCTTGATGAGCGCCACTGTCTTGTCGTAACTCGTAAGTCACCAGCAGCTTCGGCACCCGGCTCCCACTTGTCCTCGCTAACCGCGGTGTCCTAGGTCGGCGCGGTGTCGTAGTTGTCATTGCGCTTGGTCGGGCACGTTCGCCTCATAGTCATCGACCAGGAACGTGTGGCGGTGGTAAATAAGTTAACTACCAGTGGAAAGGGGCTAGCTAGCTCACAGCGCAGAGGACGAGGGCGTGCAGTCCGTTGCCCTTGCCGCCGATCGACATGCCATGTTGCGAGGAGCTTGGCGACGATCTTGGCGTGCGCGGGCTAGATGATGGCAGAGAGCAGGGACGTGGGCACGTGGCGGTCCGTGACGCAGAGGTCGAAGGGGTCCGGGTCTGACCCACGTCGCTCCAGCGAGCTCGACGACGGGCCGCATGCAAAAGAATGCCGTGCAGTAGTGTACACCACCCGCGCAGCGACGCATGGACCACCGCCAGCACCAGCAGAGGCCGTCGCAGAGAAGAACGCTGAGAACTGCGGGCGGCCAGGGACGCGATCCCGGTGGCCGTGTGCACAGGGAAGGGACTCTTGTGCGTGGGCTTGCTTAGGCCTGACAGTGGCCGGAGAGCTCGATATGTGCAGAGTTGTCCTCATTTTACAGAGAGAGAGAGAGAGAAAGAAATCATTCGTCCGTGTGAATTAGGAGCAAGCTGGAATAGGGAACGCCGGGGGGCCTGGTTCGGGCAGGGAACGGAGCGCCAGGGTTACGTAGGATTGCGCAGTGCCAGAGATCGCGGTGTGGCGCCGCAAACGCGGATGCCGGTTTGTGGATGGGGATTTAGGAAGGAGAGACGTGATGCCCGTTCTTCCTTCCTTTCTATTCGACCGCGCATTTCTTTTCTTTCTTTCTTCTTTCTATAATTCAGCCGGGAAATGTAGCAGGTGTTTTTTCTTCCTATTTGGCCGGGCGGGCATGCGTGCAAATCAAGATTAAGGGCCGTGATTAACGTGATTTGGAAGAGACTTTCTCACGACCGGTAGACCTGTTTTGGAGAGGCTTCACCATGGTTGGGTAGATGAGTCCTCTTCATATTTTTTTAGTTGTAGAAGATAGAGATAGAGATGGAGATAGAGAAGAAGAGAAAAGAAAAAATGACTTCAATCGGAGCATTTTGGTACCGAACCACCAAGCCAAACTCAATGAGCTTTTTGCCCAGACCTAGACTTGTGTAAGACATCCGACTTAGTAATTCAACTAGATTTCTTATATCCCCCGTATTTAACAAGATCTAATTGTTTGCAATAATGCATTTAGGGTAGAGCTGTGACTGGGAGGGGGGCTACACCTCAAGACGCGGCCAAAAAAACAACTCCTCCTCTTCAATTTCCAACCTAGAACGGCCCAGAGGGAATAGGACTCTAGCGTTTTGCCCTACTTGACGTGGGTCTACCCTTTTAGAGCCACCCCCAGTCCTAACTCCTAAGCAGCGAGCACCGACTACATAATGCTGAAGGCCGAAGCCCCGACAAGCAACCGACGACCTCGCCCCTCCGCTCTGCCTCCACTCCTACCCCTTCGTCTTCCTCCATGAGGGGCTAGGGGCGTGTTGGTGCCCTTCATTCTCCCCCCTCAGAGCTCTCGCTCCCAAATCAACAAGTGTCCTCGACCTAAGCTAGGAAGCGAGCGTGCCAACAGATCTGCCCAAGCCCCACCCCTGCTACCTACCGCGTTGGGTGCTGCCCAAATCACCCCGTGTTATGCTGGATAGCTTTATACTTGGAGTGACTATTCGAAAGGGATGAAGTATTGTACTCACAAATCAATATACTAGAAACAATGATGTTCTTTAATCTTAATAGGAAGGAGATGAGATAAAGTTGTTATTACTCCGTTCCAAATTAGAAGACATTTTTGGTTTTTAATATATTGCTTTTACTATATACCTAGACATAGCGTATATCTCAATGCATAATGAAAGCTAGATATGTAGAAAGGTCATAACGTCTTATAATTTAGAATGGAGGGAGTACAAGATAATGTTGTAGCAAAATTAGTGACCATGTCACATGAGGTATTCAACAAAAGAAAATAGTTAATAAAGTATTTAATTGTAAACTTGATTACTTGTATGAAAATACCGAGAAAATGGTCAGAGTTTGGCAAAAAAAAGTTACCCTAATAATAAATTCAAAGTTTACCAAATTGCATCTTACTCGCTCTCTCTTTTAAATGTCACTATGTTATTCGTGTTGGTCATATTTTTTAAATTTAATTAGGTTTATAGAAAATATTAACAACATTTGTATATCTAAATTAGTTTATTATAAAAATAGATTCAAACAATCTATCAAACGATGCTAATTAAGGATTATAAATATTAATATTTTTATATATCACAAATATTAATATCTATATAGTTAAAGTTGAATATATTTGACTTCCTTTTTTTGCTTTTATTAAAAATGACGGAAGGAGACAAGGAGTATGTAGCAATTTCGACGAGCCGGTGCCTCACACAAAGCACACAAACCTTACAGAACCCATAAAAAATTCAAAGAAAAGAAAAAAGGACAAAACCCCGCTCCGGCGCTCTCCCATGAATAATCCATCTCAAAACCCTACTCAGCCGGTGGAGATGCCGAAGCTAGCGGCGGCGGTACCGGAGACGGTGGGGCAGGCGGTGATCCCGCTGGTCAACAGTCTGCAGGACATCATCGCGCGGCTGGATGGCGACGCCGCTGCTGGCCTGGAGCTGCTGCAGATGGCGGCGATCGGTGGGCTGAGCAGCAGCAAGTCCAGTGTGCTGGAGGCGCTCGTCGGCCGCGACTTCCTCCCTCGGGGCCCCGACATCTGCACGCGCCGCCCCCTCGTGCTCCAGCTCGTGCGCCACGCGTCCCCCGAGGAATGGGGGGAATTTCTCCATGCCCCCGGCCGCCAGTTCCATGACTTCGAACAGATCAAGCGCGAGATCCAGGTAAGTGCCGTGATGCTGTGGTTTCTGCAGCTCTTTTTGGCTGCATATAGGCTATGTGTTTGGTCCAATGCTTGAGACACTAGGCATCTACTCCTATTTACATAAAACCATTCTGAACTTGTAGTTCATATAATGTGCTGATTTAGAGCAACTCTAGCAGATCCTCTTTTCTAAAAAAATGTAAGAGCATCTCCAAGAGCTCCTTAAAATGGCTCCCTATTATTATTATTATTATTTTTTTGTAAAAAGGAAAAAAAACAGCATTCCAACAATTTTGTATTTGAACTCCCTAAAGATAAGCACTTGGTAAATCCCCCCTCAACTCATATATATATATACGCATGCGTTCAACATTTGCTATCCGTCCGGGTGCCCCCTCCGCCATGGTTTCCTCTTTTCCTGCCCGGTTTTTCTTCTCACCCGGTTTTTGAGTTTTATTAAGTTAATTACCAGAAACTATTGGAGGTAGGTAAACATAGAGCTCCCTGTTTACTTTGCTCACTCGGCAGAATCATTGACTTATCAAGTAATTTTTAAGGAGCTTTTTGAGACGCTGTGCGATGGCATATCGATACAGCCAATATTATTGGCAAAAGCTAACAGAAGGAAAATTTGATTAAATCTTGGTGCTATGATGCTTTTTTTTCAGTACTACTTCAATATGAAGATTTTTGTGACCTTTTAACATAGTTATAGTCAGGCTGTATAGTGTATAGTGGAAAAGATGATGACCGTGTAAAAACTTAATACTTTGTTTTGATTTTTGCCTAGGATCACAACATGAGCCATTTTAGCATACATTCGCGTTACTGTGGATTGCTTAGTTACTATATACACAGTTACATTTATTAGCCATTTTTCTACTAAAATGCTGAAGACTTGACGCTACTATCCGAGTTGGTCATAGTATATAATAATGAGAATTTTGCCAGGCTACCCTTTATGGAGTGTTCCCAACAGTCTCTCGTGCACTTGCTTACCTAGAACCTATCCTGTGCTGCTGATGTTTGGCAAGGGTGCACATTTTGTTTTTAGTACTTAAGAAATGTGCTTTGCCGTGTGCAACAGCCACGTGCTGTTATTGATTGTGCATTTCATGAGGAATACTACATGATGCAGCTCAAAGTTAACAAAAATTTGCTCTCCAGTGTGATAATCTACTTGCTTAGTATCGATATTGTCCATTGCATTTTGAATCAGTTTTGAATGTACTTCGTTCCTTAGTTTTTTCAGAGTCGCTACAATAAAAAGTTAAATTCTTAACATTTTACTTCACTCCTCTTTTGTTTATCTAGTTATTTACTCTTACAGTCATTGGACACTATTACTGAACTCCGATGCCAATCTTTCTTATTCTATTCTTACATTGGTACCATGTTTGAAAAAAAAAATCTTTTATGCCTTCTTATGTTCTCATGTGATGAAAGAAATTGATTATTTCAGCTTGAAACGGACAAAGAAGCTGGAGATAATAAAGGGGTTTCTAAGAAACAAATTCGTTTGAAAATCTTTTCACCGAATGTCCATGTACTAGACATCACCTTGGTTGACCTCCCTGGAATAACACGGGTGCCAGTTGGAGACCAGCCCAGTGATATTGAGTCAAGAATAAGAGCAATGATCATGCAATACATTAAGCATCCAAGTTGTATTATCTTGGCTGTTTCTCTTGCAAATGCTGATTTAGCTAATTCTGATGCGCTCCAACTGGCAAGGCTTGCTGATCCTGATGGTACTTAATCAACTTAAATAATGCATTTGATTACTATTTCCTTTGTAGTGGACAGCTAGTTAAGTGTAAACCTTTAACTGCTTGCTGTTTTACTGGCAGGGTCTCGTACAATTGGTGTTATCACCAAGGTATTTATTTACTGTACACAACTAATGTTGTATAGTCCTTCGATCATTGTATGATGTATGGTCATTTTGATAACCTCATTTCAATGCCTTTACTTAGATATCATGGACAGGGGCACTGATGCTCGTAATTTCTTGCTCAAGTTTGGTTATGTAGGTGTTGTAAATCGCAGCCAGGAGGTATATTCTTTGCCGAACCACAGGCCTTGTAATATTTGATTGTCAGTTTGTGTTTTCTCTCAATAGTAGTTATTTCTATAACCTTCGAATGCCAGCTTGATTGGGATAAAAAGCTTTGTTGTTGTTGGTTCATAGCTTCTATGGCCTCACATAATGCTAGATTGATGTCTGCAATCGCAAGGAGCAAAAATAGGAGATCATTATGTTGTATTAATGAGAAAAATGAAATTTCTGATATTACAAGTATTGATTCGCTTTTACATTTTGTTCTGTTTATTTTCTTGATCTTAGAAGCAGGGTTTTGGTACCTGCTTAGCTGTTTTTCTGAAGTTTTACGTTCTTACTTTTAACTATCTGATTGCAACAGGATATCAACTTCAACCGAAGCGTCCAAGATGCGCTTGCTTTTGAGGAAAAGTTCTTCTCGACTCTACCTGTATGTCAGGAAATTAATTTTTATCTGTGCAACAATTTCTACTGTAGATCAAGCACACTTGCTTAAAAAATTTGTTCATCGTTTTGTGTTTAACAGGCTTACCATGGTCTGGCACATTGTTGTGGTGTTCCTCAATTGGCCAAAAAGCTAAATATGGTATATTACTGTTAAATATCTGCTCATTGTACTTTGCCTCTGTATACCATGTTTCTTTCCACCCTCTGGATTTTATCTGTTAATTTCCTGCAGAAACATTAAAAACTTCAGGTTTCCTGGAAAAGTTGTCGCAATCTCTGATATGATGAAGAATGAATCAATCTTAACTAGTTCAGGATAATGACTCGAAGTTAAATTCTCATGCTTTAATTGAAATTGAAATGAGCAATGCTATATGGCATAGTCAGGAACACAGTAAAAATACAGTAAAAATCTTGAAGCTTAGATTATAATTAGCACAAAATGCTTAATGAATTTATTATGATGCTTGATATTTTTACTTCAAGACTTAAGGCTTTGGTACTGCAACTTGACCGAGTGTGGTTATTCTGTATGTAGCCACCTTTGTATACACTTGTGAAGTTGTGATGTTTCTACAAATAATATTAGTATGTTTCTAATGATTTTATCTGTTCAACTGATTATGATTTATCATGGTCCTTTTTGTAGATTCTACTAAAGCACATCACAAATATGCTTCCAGGCTTGAAAACTCGCTTAAATGCTCAGTTGGTAGCAGTTGCGAAGCATAGTTATTAAGGCGTCGCCTAGGCGTCGAGGCGCTAAAAGAAACCTGGTGAAAGCTCTAGTTTGGTTTTGATGAATTGATGAAACCCTAAGTACTAATCTAGTTTATCAAGTGTTCATGAGATAGGTAGTACATTCCAAGTGGTGAAGCAAATGAAGATCATGACATGATGATGGTGATGCCATGATGATGATCAAGTTCTTGGACTTGAAAAGAAGAAAGAGAAAAACAAAAGGCTCAATGCAAAGGTATAAATTGTATGAGCCATTTTGTTTTGGTGATCGAGACACTTAGAGAGTGATCACATTTAGGTTTGATAGCCGTACTATTAAGAGGGGTGAAACTCGTATCGAAATGCGGTTATCAAAGTGCCACTAGATGATCTAACTCATTGCATATGTATTTAGGATCTAGTGGAGTGCTAACACCCTTAAAAATATTTGTGAAAATATGCTAACACATGTGTACAAGGTGATACAATTAGTGGTTGGCACATTTGAGCAAGAGTGAAGAAGATAGAGGTGAAGAGGAGTTGGTCTCGCTGGTCACAAAGTGACTGGACGCTGGTCTAAGAGGGACCAGCGCGTCCGGTCAGTTGTAACAACGAAGATGCTGACGTCGCTCAGCGACCGGACGCTGGACGGCTGTGTCTGGTCATGCTAACGTGGTAGCACAGAGGAAGACACCGTGTGACCAGACGCTGGCTGTGTCTGGTCGAGCATGACCGGACGTCCGGTCATGAAATGTCGTCTCTGGATGCTTACTGGAAACGACCGGACGCTGGGGTTCAGCGTCCGGTCACTTTGAGCTGCTGTGTCTGATCGTCACTTGACCGTTGAGATCGGGCGATCAACATTTGAAGAGAGGGGACACGTGGCACGCATCGCGTGACCGGACGCTGAGGTCCAGCGTTCGGTCAATATGACCGGAGCGTCCGGTCACCCCGTGTTGTGCCCAGTGAAGGGGTACAACAGCTTTATTTCGTGGGGGCTTCTATTTAAACCCCATGGCCGGCTCAAGCTCACTCTCTTTGCCATTTTTATTGACATAGCAACCTTGTGAGCTTAGCCAAAGCCCTCCCACTCATCTCCATCATTGATTCATCATCTTTGTGAGATTGCGAGAGAATCCAAGTGCATTGCTTGAGTGTTTGCATCTAGAGGCACTTGGTGTTTGGGTTTCGCTGCGGAATTCGCTTGTTACTCTTGGTGGTTGCCACCACCTAGATGGCTTGGAGCAGCGAGGATCGTCGAGCGGAGGTTGGTGATTGTCTTCGGCTCTGATCATGGTGATTGTGAGGGGTTCTTGACCTTTCCCCGGCGGAGAGCCAAAAGGTACTCTAGTGGATTGCTCGTGGCTTGTGTGATCCTCATCTTGTGTTGGTTGTATGGCACCCTATTGAGGATTTGGCATGTGATGCCAATTATCTCGTGAACCTCCAAGTGAGTGAATCGCCACAACGAGGAGTAGCTTGCCGGCAAGCAAGTGAACCTCGGTAAAAAATCATTGTATTCATCATTTGATTCCGAGGTGATTAGTCTTCATTGTTATTCATTCTTGTGATTGATTGGCTCCTTCCTCGACACGGCGGTGTAACCTTCTTGCTCACTCTCTTTACATTACGGCAAACTAGTTGTCAAGCTCTTTAGTGTAGCTAGTTGTGAGAGCTTGTTAGTTTAGTTAGTGTAGCTCTTTAATTAGCCTTTGAGAGCACACTAACTTAGTGTAGTGACATAGCTATTGTGTGGATAAAACTATATCAACTAGAATTGTGGTAGGTGGCTTGCAATTTTAGTAGGCTAGCGCAACACTTGCTTCGCCTCATAATTGTCTAACCCATTTGCTAAGTGTTGTTGTAGAATTTTTATTAGGCTATTCACCCCGCCCCTCTAGCCATTAGGACCTTTCAAGTGGTATCAGAGCCGAGGTCACCGTGATTTGAGCTTAACAACCTTCGGTGTAAAAATGGCTCAAATCAACAACACTAAGAAGCCACCCTAATTTAATGGCACAAATTATCCTTATTGGAAGTCAAAGATGACCACACATATCAAGTCAATCAATAGAAAGGTGTGGAAGGTGGTAGAAACCAAAATTGAGATTGAAGATCCGGAGAATCCCACCGCGGCTGAAGAAGTGCTTCTCCAAAACAATGACATTGCTCTAAGTGCCATTCATGATGCAATTGATGAGAGAACATTTGAGCAAATCAAAAATATTGAGATGGCTCATGAGGCTTGGAAGAAGTTGGAAGAATCATTTGAAGGCACTCAAGCCGTGAAGGGTGCAAAGGCATACATTCTCAAAGAAAAGTTTGCAAGCTTCAAGATGAAGGAGGATGAGAGTGTGCCGGAGATGTTCCATAGGCTTCAAGTGCTTGTCAATGATCTCAAAGCACTTGGAGAAGAGGTGAAGGACAAGGACTTCTCCCACAAGTTCTTGAGATGTTTACCTTTAAGATTTGGCACATTGGTCACTATTCTAGTGAGAAGTGGTTTGGACACCATGACACCAAACCAAGTGTTGGGAGATATAATGACCGATGATACATATAGAGATGATGATGAGAAGGAAGAAAAGAAGGAGAAGAAAGATGAGAAGAAAGATGAGAAGAAGAGTGTGGCATTCAAGGCCACATCATCCAAGGGCAAGGCTAAGTAAGAAACATCAAGTGAAGATGATGGCTCATGGGATGATGATGATGAGAAGATGGCTCTCTTTGTCAAGAAATTTAGCAAGTTCATGATGAAGAAAGGGTACCGTGCTAGAAGAAAGAAATCTTCATCCAAGAACAAGGAAGAGTCAAGAAGGTGCTTCAAATGTGGAAGCAAAGATCATCTTGTTGCTCAATGTCCATACAATAGCGACAATGATGATGACAACAAGAAGAACAAGAAGAAGGACAAGAAGGAAAAGAAAGAGAAGGACAAGATGACCTTCAAGAAGAAGAAGGGTGGTTCATATGTGGTCACTTGGGATAGTCATGCCTCCTCAAGTGATGATGATGATAGTGATGATGACAAGACCACCAAGAAGAAGGCACTTGCAAGCATTGCTATCAATGAGAAGTCTTCTCTCTTCGACACTCCATCATGCTTCATGGCTAAGGCCACTAAGGTACAAACTTGTGATGATGATGGAAGTGATGATGAACATGATAATGAAAATGATAGTGATAGTGATGATGACGAACCCACTAAAGATGAATTATTTGACATGCTAGAAGATGCTAAAGAACACTTTGACATTAAGAGAAGGGAATGTAAAAGCTTGAATAAGGAGGTAAAAGCCCTTACGCAAGCCCTTGATGAGCTCAAAGCAACTCATGAGAGGCTAGAGGAAGCCCATGAGAAGCTTGGGAAGGCTCACAAAAAGCTTGAAAAAGCTCATTCCTCATTGCTTAATGAGCAAGATAAAAATAAGCATGTTGAGACTTGTGACGTAGGTTTAACTTGTGATATAATTGATGAATCATTATCTATGGCTATCATTGTTGCTCCCACTAACCCTTCTTGTAGTATTTCTACTTCTACCTCATCTAGTAGTGATGATCTCACTTGTGATGCCTCACTAATGGTTGAGAATGAGAACCTCAAGAAGGAGATCAATAAGCTCATTCACACCTTGGCTAAGGCCTATGGTGGTGAGGACCGCTTGCTTATGTGCTTAGGTAGCCAAAGAGTTTCTCTCTACAAAGAGGGATTGAGCTATACCCCCAAGAAAGGCAAAGTGGCCTTTGCTCCTCACAAGACTAGTTTTGTGAAGAACAATGGTCGGTTTTGCACTAGTTGCAAGCAAGTTAGTCATAAAGAGCATGAATGCAAAAACAAGAGCAAAAATGCTAATGTATCCTCCATTAAGCTTGATTCTTTCTATGTGCTTACCAAGGGTGCAAATGGTGTAAAGGCTAAGTTCATTGGTAAACCATGGATGGGCTCAAAGAAGAAAATCATTTGGGTACCAAAGAGCTTAGTGACTAACCCTCAAGGACCCAAGCAAGTTTGGGTACCTAAAAAGAATTGATCTTCTTTTGTAGATCAATTACAAAGCCAGAGGAAGGCATTGGGTTCTTGATAGTGGGTGCACTCAACACATGACCGGTGATGCAAGAATGTTCAACTCAATCAACACCAATGGCAATGATGGTTATGATAGTATCACATTTGGTGATAATGGCAAAGACAAGGTCAAAGGGCTTGGTAAAATTGCAATATCCAATGACATGAGCATATCCAATGTGTTGCTAGTAGAGAGCTTGAACTTTAATTTGCTATCCGTGGCTCAATTATGTGATCTTGGATTCAAATGCATATTTGGGGTAGATGATGTAGAGATCATAAGTGTAGATGACTCTAATTTGATCTTCAAAGACTTTAGATATGAGAATCTATACTTGGTTGATTTCAATGCTAGTGAAGCTAGATTATCTACATGCTTGTTCACTAAGTCTAGCATGGGTTGGTTATGGCATAGAAGGCTTGGTCATGTTGGAATGAAACAATTGAATAGATTGGTTAAGCATGACTTGGTTAGAGGCTTGAAAGATGTTGTGTTTGAAAAAGATAAGCTTTGTAGCTCTTGTAAAGCCGGAAAACAAGTTGGAAACACCCATCCTAAGAAAAGCATGATGAGAACTAGTAAAGCATTTGAGTTATTGCATATGGATTTGTTTGGGCCAACACAATACACTAGCATTGGTGGAAATAAATATGACTTTGTGATAGTGGATGATTACACTAGATACACTTGGGTATTCTTTCTAGTGGACAAAAGTGATGTGTTTGCAACATTCAAATCATTTGTTAAGGGCATTCACAATGAGTTTGAAACAACCATCAAGAGAGTTAGAAGTGACAATGGTAGTAAGTTCAAGAACACTAGAATTGATGAGCTATGTGATGAATTCGGAATTAGACATCAATTCTTGGCCAAGTACACTCCACAATCAAATAGCCTTGTTGAGAGAAAGAATAGAACACTCATTGATATGGCAAGGTCTATGCTTAGTGAG